AACAGGCTACTATACGGGGAATGGCGGGGGGGAAGAAAAAGTTTCGGAGATAGGAGCTAGTGACAGAGACCAAAAGCCAAACCTAAAGGCAGCGACATCAGCAGAAGCCCCGGTTGATGCCAGCGTGAGCTGGATCGGGCCCCGCGCAGCCGGGGTGGCTGACTGCACCCCAAACCCGCCCCTGGGGACACGGGGACCCAGCCGTACCCACGAGCCAGCGGGCTGTATTCCCAGAGCCGGGTGTCACCCGTGCCCCCCGCGCTGCTGACCACCCCCTGGTCTTTGCCTCCAGCTGCCAGCCCCTGCCCACCCTGCCTGCCCAGCGGAGACACCCAGGGAAAAGCTGCAGGAAGCAACCTGACAGCAAGGCTCATCTGAGGAATAATTACAATGCCCTATTTAACTCAAACGTAAGCTTAAATACTAACAGCAAGCAAAACCCTGGTGCGCCCCAGCTGCCTGACTGCTGCAGGGCCCGATCCTGCTCCCACCGGGGTGGGAATTCCCAGCACAGCTCCCTCCCGGGGCACCGCGCCGTGTCCGTGCACACGGACGATGCTGTGCCGGATGCGCTCCGAAAGGCAGGGAAGGCCTGAACACAGGCTGCACCTCCGGGAGAGCCCCAGCTACCTGCGAAAATCTCACTACATCTTCTGCAGCCCCGTCTCAGCTGCATAAAAATATTTCAGCTCAGTGCCTTGAAGTTGCAATTAAATTGCAGTAATTTAAGATTATCACAAGAGCAAAGGGCAGTAGCAGCTCTTCAGCAGACTCCTCTCACCACTTAATGCTACTCAGTCTTGGGGTTAAATGAGCTTCTTTAGTATAAGTACCTTAAAGCAAGTGAATCGTAAACAAAATTTATACTATTTCCTGACAGCATATAATCTATTTAAATTTATTAAAGCTTCTCGGAGAAAATTTAAGATGACAGAAGTATCATTATGCCCTATAAATAACTGGACAGCCTTACAGAAATAACTGTATTTTACATACGTATCCTACATATGTGTGTGCATACGTTATTTCATTTGATATACAAATACATGCTCAACAGATATTTCACAAAAGGAATTACATTATCCGGTTCAATCTCTCAATATAAATGACCACGAGCAGTACGAATACTAAACGCTAAGCTGCATTCCATAAATTTGCCTTTTTATTACCAGCCTTTTTCCTAATTTTTACAATGCCGTGAAACAGGAATAATTCTAGAGCTACAAATGTTTACCGTATATCATCCCAAGGATGATAATGCAAATTTCAGCTCTTCAGAAAAGGTGAGCCTCTCCAAGAGAGAAGCACGGTGCAGCGTATGCTGCGCAGTAACGTCCAATGCATAATTCTCTGCTCAACTTTCCTGCTCCTTCTCTCACCAGTACAAAAACTCGCTGCGTTATGATTACCGGTGGAACCGATTTAAGCAGAAAATGTTTATAGATGTTAAAAAGCATTACACATTACCCAAAATGGCTTAATAGCATACATGTGCATGTTTAACACACATACTTTTTATTGTCTAATTAAAGTATATACCATAAAAATCTACAGGCTTTATAATAAGTTATGCAGGATGGTTATGAGACCTTACCTTATAAAAAGTATAAAGTACTTATTGTGTGATCTGCACTGCTAATTAAAGAAATACTTATGCAAAAAGGTCTTGGATTTCTTAATTCTCCAGTAGATGAGCACTTGGTCTGCCTCCTGATTAACATACATTGGGGTAACAGCCTTTTCCTCAGGTTTGGGTTGGGTTTTTTTTTTTTTAATAGGTATTTCCATTGTTTTGGAATACTTTAAAGAAATGAAAGAGGGGGCACATGTGTAGAGTTTGCAGTGAAGAGTTTGAATACAAACACGAAACTGTCAAGCAACAAAAATAACCCAAGTTGCACTTGGTTCAGTTTCACTAATACTTAAATCCAAAATGTTTACTAAAGTAAAAGCAAGCTTCTGTTAATATCCCATACTACTATTTCCACTAAAAAAAAAAAAGCCATGAAGCCAAGTTACACACAGTTCTGCAAAAATCTTGGCATATCAAAAATAAGGTGCCACCCCGCCTGGTCAGTATTATGTTTGAAAGAAAGATATTACAAGTTTTCTAAATTCCGGAAACACAGTCACACAACGTACAACACTTAATCACAACCAAACTCCTCTATTACACATCAGCACAGCACTTACACACAGAGAAAAAAAAATTTAAAAAAAAAAATAAAAAAAATCCATGTTTCCTTACATTCAGAGCTCCAGAAATAAAAGCTGAATTCCACAGAACTTTTACGGTTTTCAGCGTTGCACTACTGAAACGCCTTCTCCTCTGCAGCTCTAGACAGCATAAATAAAATCAAATCCTAAGTCTCTCTGGAAGCGTACACAGCGCACTCCAAGCCACTATCACTCCAAAAAAAAAAAAAAAAAAAAAAAAACCCAACCCCAGCCCATGCACAAAACCCCCTAACTTTGCAATCCAAATCGTAAGCAAGAACAAGCCTTGTTCGAAATCGCAGTTATTTTTTCTCCGAGTTATCCTTTGGTTTCACCACAAAGATCAGCATTTGTAATGGTCCATTTCTGCATAAGTGAACATATAGCCTTGCTGCCTGATCGAATAGTCCAGAGCTTCCAGTGAGGCAGCTCCTGACAACAGCCCAGCAGCAGCTTTGTTTGATCTCTCCTGCCTTCCTTAATCTGGGTTGTCAAGGTTCACTTGTTGGAGGCTGTTTACTTTACTTTTTCCAGAAAAAAAAAAAAAAAAAAAAAAAAGTGATTTTTTTTTTTTTCTGTCTCTCATACAATGACTAATCCAAAGACTAAGGGGGAAGAATGCTGCCAATGCAAGATGTTAAAGCTACAATACCTTTTTGCAATGAGATTTTAGCCGACACCTTTTGAATGGTAACTAGTGAAGAGCTTCCTACCCCGGTGCCCTGTGCCATTCAATATGATTGTGAGATAGTTCAAATAAAATGCACAGGGGAAAAGATTCGCGGGAGAGAAATTGAAACCAGGAGCCCTGATTTCCCCTTCTCCTTCCCCCCAATCTACTTGCAAAGATGCACGGTACCTCCTTTGCCTACGCTCGCTTCTCCGAGAACTTGAATTATTTCAGGCTCTCTCAAACTTACAAAAAGTAGGAGCTTCTCAGCAGCAACAGAAACTGTAAAAACAATAGTAAATGGAATGAAATGCCTATTTTCCCTCCGCCGAAACATTAAAGCAAACCGTGGATTAACAGCACGAGCAGCAAGTTTCTTCGACGACATTCTTGAAACTTTGTCTAATTAAGAAGCTGTCATCAGCGACATCAACATTCGGTCAAAGCAGGTTAAAACGCAAGTTTAGAAAAACTGTATGGAAAGGAAGCGCAGTTTAGAAAACTTTTTTTTTTTTTTTTTTTTTAAAATTTATAACCATCCAGCACCCTAGAAATCAGCAGGCTACACTGTGTAGACGACGCGCTACAAGCAGCACACGTACATTACTCACTCAAAGAACAGTTACTAAAAATGAAACCTTAAAACTTCTGAGCACAGAAGTTGGGCTCCAGCTTCTCTAGAGAAGCGGCTCTGGGAGCGCT